TAAATTGTAAGGAATTTAATTTTATCAATAAATAATATTGTTATTAAGTATGATATCAAGTTTTATTCAACGTACCTATAGTTTAACTAAGACTTAAAACTTTAAAGTTTATTAAGTTAATGTTAGGGAACGTTGTGGAGTGAAAGAAGATGTAGTGTCGAGGATTGAGAAAGGTATGATGAGATGGTTTAGACATATAGAGAGGAAGAACAAAAGGAGATAGACGAAACAAGTATACAAGACGAGTGTGGATGGGAGAGTTGGAAGGGGTCGACCTCAGCGAACATACCTCAATCAGATTGAGGATGTTTTTAGCAAAGGCCAGCTTAGGAGTACCCTAATTAAGTTAATAACAATGTACCTACCTATATAGTTTAAGTTTAAAAAATTTGGCTCTCAAAAGAAGTTTCAATCGTTGTACTGTTGATATTTGGCTCTGTTGACTAATGAGTTTGCCGACCATTGGCCCACCCTATATATATGTATGTGTATATGCATATGTATATATATATATACACACATATATGTGTATGTGTATATGTATATGTGTATGTATATGTATATCACACATACACACAGTGACAAATGCAGTTGATTGAATGTTTCAATGCCATCCTCTGTCCCTTGTGGAATGGAAACTAGCAGACTACTGACACTTCCTTTGAAGGCTCTTCTGCTTGCATTTGAGATGACTTCTTGAAGCAAGTGTTTGAGAACATATGGTGAAACAAAGTGGATCAAATAGTCTGGTGTTGTGGACTAGGTGCTAACTAGAGATCTCAGGAGTTGAGGGCCTGAGGCATTATCTGAAGAGATCCAGGTACCCTTTTCTGTTTCTTTGATGTCCCCTCAGTCATCCTGCCAAGCTGCACAATTATAACTGGGAAATGGGCTGTATCTCTCATAGACAGTGTACCCATCATGGAAGCAGCCCTTGCAAAACCTGGGGACCTAGAGTCCTGAGGGTTAACAGAAGAATAATCCAGAAACCCTTGGGGCCTATGGAAACATATAAAGCTTTGGATAGCTTCTCAATAGATCTTTTCTGAATGTGCCCAAAGCGATGGTGCTTCAATGCCTAGCCTTATATTCTAAAGGTCCTGCAAAATGTAGTTCCATGACCTAAGGCTCCATAAAGCATTTTACTGTTGAAACTTCCAAACTCACCAGAGGTACTCCGCAGGCTGTGAGTGATGTGCAGACATGTAAGACAATGGAGAAAGGCAAGATCAGAGAGAGGGACTCCTCTCCCTAGAGCTTGTGCTGTAGGGTGGATTGATGGTGGGTTTCCTCGTCTACGTAAGTTGGGAGTAATTAACGAGTAAGAAGATCTTACTATAATTTTACCCTCTGGGACCTAGAATTTTTTTCTTACATTACTGCATTTTTCTTGCATTACTGTCATCTTCTGTTGGGGTGGCTCTACACGTATGTGTGCGCGCAGGGGAGAAGGATGTAAGCGGGACTGCTCACTGGCTACCCTCTTCTCTCTGTTTGAACTCAAAACTTGGTGCACTTTGCCAACCCCCAGGATGGTTTGGATCTTGCACCCAACTGCTTTGTGGTTCACATATTTCTCAATTTAACATCTGTCTTCCGTTAGCCACTCCGTAGCTATATAAATGCCTAATGCATGTGATGGCTTATGGTATGGAGATAATGAAGATTTTCTTTTTTCTCCTTGTCTCTCCTTTCCTTCCTCTACCATTTCCTCAGATTGCAACATTATTAGTGGTAGTTCTGTAATTTTTGTCTCTTGGTTTTAAATTAATTGCATTTTCATGAGTCCTGGGGATTGACTTCAACTTTTCCTCACTCCTTTATAAACCTGCTGTCAAATTGACTTGAAAACGTGACTTATTCACTTTATTTCAGAGTCCTGACTCAGTACTAAATACAGGTTATACAATATGTCCAGTATGATCCCACTTTTGCCTGCATATTACGCGTGTGCGCATGTGTGCATACACACACACACACACACACACACACACACACACACTTCTATGCATGTGCAGAAAAATACTCCAGAGGGATATGTTTCCAAGTGTAATCTTTACCCTAAAAATGGGACTCTCAGTGATTCTGTTTCTTCTTTTTGTTCATATATATTCTCTATTTTTCGACAATATGCATCTGTTGCTTGCGTAATTAAAAAATACTTTAAAAAGTCATTCTCAAGCTTTCTGTGTAATATCAGTGCAAGATCTGATATCCACCCACTGGTGTTGTTAATGGTAATTTATTTAAATGGCTTATTTGAAATGGCACTTATTTTTGGAAGATGTTGGGACAACTGAGTCAGCCATCATATTTTAGGAAATAAGATGAGCAAGAAACCCCAAAGGAACAGGTGAAGCTTTGCTAGGCAGAGGTCTGTCTCCTACCGAAAGGTTTTTGGGTCAAGATGTATATATGTGCATGAGCTCAGCTGGAACTTTCCTGACCTGCGGGGGGGCTGAATTTAGCAGTGAGCTAAGGCTCCTGGTCACTTAGTGAGTCACCCAGCAGAGAACGGCTGGGATACATACCCTAGGGCTTTGTAGACTGAGGAGTCCTGGGAGCACACCGTGTTCCTAGAACACGCTGGGCTTGCCTGTCTCCCAGTGACACCGTTACCAAGCACTTCCCAAAGCCACCACCAGCTGCTGTGCGGGCTCACTGCCCACAGCCTCCAGGCCCACAGCCATAATGATCACAGCTCATGGGCAAACTCAATCTCAGTTAACAGAGGTCAATCACCCGGCTGGTGTGGCTCAATGGTTGAGCGTCCACCTATGAACCAGGAGGTTGCGACTGGATTCCCGGTGAGGGCATATGCCCGGGTTGTGGGCTCGATCCCCAGTGGAGGGTGTGCAGGAGGCAGCCGATCAATGATTCTCTCTCATCATTGATGTTTCTCTCTCCTTTCCCCTTCCTCTCTGAAGTAAGTAAAAGTATATTAAAAAGCAACATATCAATAACCAAAATTATGTACTCACGGGTCACTGTACACTTTTAAAGACCAAAGTGAGCTTTCCTGGGGGAAAGACTGTTTTCCTGGATGGAACACATACCTTTCTTGTCATCCTGGGCACAGCCAGGTGCCGCTGGGAGTGGTGGCTGTTGGTGATGGCAGAGTATGAGGATGGTGGAGTGGGAGGAGGTAGAGGACATAGTTGTTGAGCTGGGGCCCACAGTGTGATCTGCAGTGTGTTTAGCACGGACGTTTGGGAGAATTTTAAGACAGTCGAATTGGGAAAGTGCTTACACCTTCTTGTAATTAACTTCTCCTTGGGAAAAAACAGCTGATTATCAGGCAGAAACATTTTAATGTGCTGTTTTAGCTGAAGAGCAATTTTTAACCGAAGTGTATTAAGCAAGCAAGTTTCGGTGGTGGGTTTAAAAAATTTTCTCTCACCCAGGTTGGTGTTGCTCAGTGGTTATATTGTTGGTCTGTGGACTGAAGGATCTTGGGTTTGATATCTCTCTCTCTCTCTTATATTTTCCCTCCCCCTCCCCCCTCCCTTATACTCTCTAAAAATCAATGGGAAAAATTTCCTTGGGGGAGGATAAAAAAAAACACATTTCTTCTCTGAGCTGAGGCAGATACATTTTTCCTTCCATTGGTATGTCTAGAGAACACAGAGCAAATGCATTTTCTCTCAGCTTATCTAACAGATTGGATAAAATACACAATTCCCTTAAGGATAAATGTCAAGAAGAAAGACTGACGTATACTTCCAAGCAAAATTTATTAGATGTCTATTCAAGAAAAACACAATGACCTTTGCTTGTAAGAATTCAAAGTCAATGACCTGAAAGCCAAGTAGGAATATTTTTTTTCCTTTCAAAATCAGGTACAGAGAGTAGAAACAGTAATTTTTCTTAAATATGACAGGCAACAGATATTGAAGTCTTTTCTCATAAATGGCATGGAAGATAATTATTCATTTATCAGCAAAGCTGCATGCAGTTGACCTAATTTCAAACCCAAGGCCTTTAAAATATAAAGCTGGTTGTGAACTTGACAGTAATCAAGGTCGGCTACTCAAAGGTGTTTCTTTACCTTCTTCCTATTGAAACCCCTCTGTACTGGATACTTATATACATTTCAGTTTGGCTGCTAAGATCTTTTAAGCTCATAAACTTTTGCATAAATGCTATCTTATAGAATCACACTATCGAGGCGTGCTTATGATCTGTGGGCTATACAAAGAATCATCTTTAGCTTAGTTTAAGTGAAGGATAAACACCAAGTTAGGAAATTCCCTTGTTTTCGCAACAACTAAATAGTCTGTACAAAAAAAAAAAAAAGGGAGCAACCATATGTACAAAATTCTAGAGTCTACTTACATTGTGAAAAGATCAGTCACTGTCCACAGAAGAAATGCCATAAAAAGTTTTCTCTATAAGGTGCTCAAGATCCAAATATGAATAGTTCTTATGCAAAGTCATAAGAAATACAAAGCTAGTTCTCAGGAGGTGTGTAATTCAGGCACTGTTCGCCACATTAAATCTTCCAGGTCCCAATATCATTTTGTAAATTTCTACCTCAGGGCAGAAAAACAGAACCTGGATGAGTTAACATTGCCTCTAAAAAGTGCCTGATGGATTTTGAGGAAGTATTTTATACACACCAGAAAATCAGGCTCAACATATTCCTGTCCTCAAATGAAGCCAGGATTCTGAGTTCCATAGGAAAAAAAATAATTATTATAGTAAAAATAATTGTATGGATCATAATCCTTGCTAAGTCCAGCCTTAATACCTGTGATGCTTCTAAAGTTTTCTATTTCTATAAAATAATGCGTGGGGTTCTTTTACATTTCCATAAAATGTATGCCATATCATGTGGATTGCCTGTTCTCATACAATCGCAAATGGCTATGTGCACACCCAGTGAGATACTACCTAGGAATATTGCTTACGGATACTTTCAAGTGTCTATGTTAGAATAACTCTTTGCACCTCTCACTAACACTGCTTTCATTTAAATTTCGTCAGATAAATAAACACTAAGGGCTCATTGTTTATGATGCTGATTATTACATTTTAATATAAAATAGCAACGCAACTTTACAACACAATATTTTTTTTTTGTAGTCTAGCTAAATCTCTTATATTCTCATGATTACTACCCAAAGCTCTTATTCACTTACTGTTTGCACTTCTAAAAAGTACAAAGGAATCGCAGGGCAAGACTGCTATTTGAAAACCCACATTCAATCCACAAAAATCACACTCATCCGAATGAACGCTCCTACGCTTGCTTTAGCTTGTGTAATAATCACTGTGCATATTGCAACATATAAGTGCAGGCGAATAATAGCTGAAGTAGGTTGTCATGTCGTGTAAACGAGGGCTCTAGGCAAACTCGTGAAAGGAAAACAGACTGCCAAGCTAAGAGCGTGGACACACACACCACGTATTTAGTGATAAACCATCTTCTGGTCGCCGGGGGAGGGGGGGGTGGAGAGGGATCCTCAAAGTGGACCAGGGAGCCTCCTCGAGACACTTTTCAATTTTTTTTGCCTCCAATATTTACCCCTTTGTAAGTATGGTGACTTTCTTTCTGATCCTAACGTACAGACTTCCAGGTTAGAGCAGAAAGCAGGGGTATGCACTTTCACACGGAACAGGCCTGCCAACCCCCCAAGGCTCCGGCGGTTACTCTGCTGGTGGTTGGGCGGCAGGTGGAGGTGGGGATGGTGGTGACTTCTACGGGAAACATAAGGCATGAGAGCGGGAGGCCTGCGGGGTCTTTCGGGCAAGGTTCTGAGACGCAGCATACGCAGGAGGGAGGGTGCTTCACAGCCTCTTGACATAGTTTCCGGGGAAAGTACCAAAGAATTTGGTTCTTCTTGAGGTTCCTGCAAAGAGAAGCAACACATGAAAGGGGGGTAATATAACATGAAATAGCAGTTCGTACATGTGGGCCTGGGACTCTGCATTCCCGAGGCTTCCCTATGTGAGCAAGGCCTGCAGGGTTTGCAGAAGCAGGAAACTCACTGGGGGACATGAGCAAGGTAGTCAGGTGAAGAAGAGACAAAGACTAGGAGGATGGCCTGTGCGCTGGTGTCTGATACTCTGTCCACAAATGTTCTCCCAGAAGACGTCTAGTCTTCTCTCAAGATTTGAGAATGAGACTGTCTTTCCAGTGGTCAGAATGGAAAGTCTGTCTCCCTCCTTCCTCCACAAATGAAGGCTAAGGAAGCCCTGGCCTCTTAGGGTAACGACAGCAGCCCTAGATGGGGGTGAGCGACCTTGTTCTCTCACACTGACCCTCACGGCTGACAACTGACACTCTCCACGGAACAGAGTATTAGTACTTCTCACCTAGGGACCATTTTTGTTTTGTTTTTCTTCTTACATCTCAGTCTTTCCTGGTTGGTGCTCTTTAAAGAAATTTTCTTCTCCCAGGTAAACCAGAAATAAAGCCAACAGAAAACCACATCTACCTGGAGCAGTCAATGCTCAACTCTATTAAAAAGGCAGTTGCCTTGGGATGACATACGAATGTATGGAAGATGAAAGGCATTGTGAACTCAAAGAAAGCCTGACCGCTGTACCCACCCATGCAGGGAGCAAACACAAGCACGTTAAACGTGGGCAAATGTGTCTGCAAGGAACTGTCCACGTACCCACAAACCATCCATCATCACATTTTTCCATCACGTCGATGACATCACTTTCTCTGAGCTCCAGCTCGTCTTCATTCCTAGGAGTATAGTTATACAGAGCCTGAAACCTTAAACAGGACAGATGCATGGGTTTAAAACAAAATTCACACCTTTGTGAAACTATAGAAGATACACAATATTAATATTGCTTTTAGCATTTCTATTATTATAATTATAAAGACCTATTAACATAAGTCTTTGGTAAGCTTGTAAATAGAACTATGTAGACTCTCATGGAAATTAAATCACTCAGTATTTCAAAACTCGCAATGAGGAATATTCATGGAAGATGATAACATCCATGAGTTGGATTCAAACATTAACATTTATAAGCCAGAGCCACATTTCAATTGGCCAGTCATAGATATCTAGCATTCAGACGTTAAACAATAGAACAGAATATAAAAAAAGTGCCATGTGTACTTATTCAGCTATATGAAAACAAGGAATTACAGTTTTAGCTATCTATAAGCAGAAGTAATTAATTGCAGTTTGCAAGTTGAATTTTCGAAGGATTCTAAATTGAGATGTGCAACATGTCTCAGACATATATCTTCTAAATCACTGAGTGGGAATTACTATAAAAAAGAGTTTTTTGTCTTTTTACTAAAAGAATTTTTTAAAAATGGTTTGGTTTATAGTTTGAATCCATGTTTTCTCAGATTTAGAATTTGAAAATCTGATGTTGTCCACCTATGAAATGAAATGGATGTATTCTATGCTCAATGATCAACTGAGCTAATATCAAAGAGTAGGGGTATTATGGGCATAAGTTCCTTTTTAAAAGGTTCTGGAGAAATTGTGTTTGATGTAAAAACTCTCTTGAAAAAATTTTACATAAAAAATTACTTATCAGTAATGCTACCCACGTTCCTTTCTCTGTCTGAATTCTTTGAGAGCATATATTTTGGTGACATTGATCAGTAACACATTCAGCCATTGAATTTTTGGTAATAAAGTCGCTTGTATTTTAACGCATATTAGCATGGACTGGCATTTTGAAAGGTGAAGACACAAATTCTAGCAGCTGAGGTCAGGCAGCATTGGATGTGCAGTTAAGACAAAGATGTCCCAGTGCTTCTAAAATATTATCAGTATTGGGAGGGGGATTAAAAAAAAAAATCAGTGAACTGGTTTCTGCTGTTTTCATAACAGTTGTGTAAATCTGCCCATGTAAGAATAGAAGAACCACATTTCAGGGCATTTTGGGTTTTTTAAAACCAACTTTGAAAAGCTGATGATATTGAACACTGCCCAGGAATAAGGATGGTGTATTTCTCATGTCTTCATTCAGTCGGAAAATCACATTTAGGTGGAACAAAACTATTCTGTCACGTGGGCTCAAACATCATGTCATAAATCAGGGACAGGGCTCCCTGGCTTCCTCTCCGTCCATGCACTTGCTTGGGTGGGGGGACTGATGAAGTTGGTGTCGGTGGGTGGTGTCTGAGAAAGGGTGGGTAAGATGTGGTGCCTAACACCTTCTAGAAAACCTTCTCCTCCCTGGCCTGGCCCGAAGCCTGAGCTTCCGGCACTGGAGATGCCTTCCCCTGCCAGTACTTGGTCCTCCTAGTACACCTTGTCAGCGGCTTGTACTTGTGGGGATGGCTCCTGAGGTCCTCTGTTGAGAGGGGATTGGATTATGGGGAACGGCAGGGGAAAGCAGCCAGAGTCTGAGAACAGTGGCAACAAGGCAGGGAGGTGTCGAATACTGACATTGCTTCATTTGGATGCTTGCTCGGGTCAGCCCTGATTTTGCTGTTTGCTTTAAAGATTTGACTTTGAGGCCCTTCAGATGAACAGATGATATGTTTTGTATACCCATGGGGCAAGGTGATGGCAAAATAGTTCCTTCTCCAAATTCACACGAGTGAGATAGTCATTCATCATCCTGCTGCTAATTCAATGGATGGACACTGAGTCTCTCCCTCTGGGAAACTGATTTTCTGATTGAGTTTTTCAGGCTCAGCCCTCACCCAGGCACATCTCCAACCACGTAGGGAGACAGGCCTATTTAAGGCCACAAACCCCAGCTGCTTGAAGAATCTCAAGGTCCCAAGAGCTAAAATAAAATTGGCACGAACTCCTACTTCACTTGGGTGAGACGAAAGCCAGCGTGCTTGTCAAAATTTATTTACCATTCTGGTTTAGTTAGACCACAAAAGGCGGGGAGGGGTGAGGGGGGTTGAAGGGAAACATAAACAGACTTTTCAGAAATCCTCCTGCCTCATTGGCTTTCAAAACCAGTGTTGCACAACAGGAAATGCAGTCGAATAACAATGGAAAATGCTGTTGTGAAAGATGTGTTGGTGAGATGAATTGATGGTGGTGGGTTAGGATGCCTCAAAAAGACCTTTGTCTTTTAAATAGGAAATCCTCAGCCAAACTTAAGTTCTCTAACTTGCAACTTTTTCTATAAGGTATTTCACCACAATTCTGAATTTAGAGACATAAAGCATTGTGTCACTATTTTTTTTAAAATGAAAGAGATTAAGCGACACCCTATTATCCTACTAATTGGGGTTGTAATCAAATAGAGATTTCATAAAGAATATTTTATAATGTCCACGGCAGGACTTCGGAAATGTGCCATCTTCCACCTGTGAGCTCAGTAGTTTCATAAACAGTCAAATGACCACACTGGAAGTGTTAACTCCACGTTACTTAACCCAGTGCAACGTAACATACCTATTACTTCATAAAGTCCTTAAAAGCTGCTGCTGTAATCTGTTAGTAATGCAATGAACCTAAACAGCCCTGACATTTATTTTTGTGTGACGTGATCCTATCGTTGTTTGAGAAAAAAAACAAAACCAAAAAACAAACTGAAACTTTAGAATAAAAGGCCATATTTAAACCTTTTCCAGTTAATGAATTTTTGAATGATTCTTATTTCCAACCTGTTCTTTGCATCGTCTTTTCCTTAGCAAGACCTTCTGGTTGTGCTCGGGGACAGCAGCCTCAGGTGAGAGATGGTTTCTGAAGCGCATGCTTTTGGCTAAGTGTCAGATCTGCGAGGAGTGAAGGGGACGCATGGCCCTAGAGGACTTGCTCTGTCCCAGTGAGCAGGGCATGGGCAGTGGGCTGGAGGCTCACCTGTGCTCAGATAGGCCTGATGTGTCTCCTTCCAGGGTCAGCTCCTGACTCACAGAATAGGTGGGAGCCAATAGGAGGCAGGTCGCCTCTGAGTATCTCTCACGGGCAAAAATGGAGCAGGAGAGACACACAATATTTGGGTCTTAAAGACAGTGCCTGACACCTTCAGGTTGACCTGACTACATATCAGCAGGGAGAGGGAATTTGAAATTGTGAAAAGGCATGTGACTGAATGACAGTGCATTTTAAATACTGCCATTTCCAAAGACCCTTCTCAGAACGTAACTTCGGAATTACGTCCCTAATTTATCACCTTAGGTCTCCTGTCACATTTTCCTTCTCCCTAAATAATGTGCAAAAACAACGTTGGGATGTTTTCTGTGCCGTTAAAGCTGTAGTTACTAGGATCTACGTGGCGAGTGAACCGAGAGGAGACAGATTCACAATCTTAGGAATCACTGCAGCTTTGGGAGTGATTGGATCAGTCTTCTCTGCAGATCCCAGGTTTCTTTTTAAAATTAGCTCTTTCTGTTATGAAGATGGAGACCATGGCAACCTCTCTTCCCTTAGGAGGCCTCCGGTTGCATAGTGGGGCCTTCCTCTACTTGGGTACATCACTCATCCATGTTGTGGGTCAAGGTTAGTCTTGAATTTAGAAGAGAAGAATAATACTTACGGTTCCCCCCCACCTTGAATGTTTTCATGAGTAAACACAGGACGCTGTGGCTGAAATGAAATGATTTGCAATGTAATCAATGTTTACACTGATACTAAGTAAGAGATAATTTGGATAATGGCATGGTACTTTTCTTAACATTTAATATATCCTGCTGTAAAAAACCAAGAGGAAGAAAAGAATACAACCACATAAAGGGTTTCTGCAGGATTAATCACTAAAATATTTTGGAGGGTGCTTTCAATGACTTCAAAATAACCAAGGTTCGAATGCTTTGAACATATCCACAATCCAGTCTGCTCAAGTTTTAAGGAAAAGTCAGGGCTCTGTCCCATTGATTTTTCAAAGGCCAGGAACATGGCAAGAACATAGACACCAAACCACTGAATGGGAAATCTGGACACCCTCATACAGCCTCGTTCCTCAGCGTTTTCTCAAGCAAGCAGAAAAGAAACCACATTGAGTCCGACAGCAAAGTATCCACACTCATTCTAATATGCTTTTCCCCCCACAGACAACATTTCCACATACAGTACGGATGAAAATATCGATAGGCGGACATCCCATGCTACATTTGAATTAACATTCTCTGTTCTCAGTGTGGAGAAACACATGCATTTTTAAAGAGAAAACAGAGAACTTTAAATAGAATGCAACAAACAATAATCCAGGTAACATGTAGCATTTTACCTTAGAAGAGAAATATTGGTGGGAATTCCCAGTGCACTGAACTCTCAAAAGAGTTTCCTTTCTTTTTATACTAAGCATCAAGACCAGTATCTGTAATAGATACTTATAATATTGGAAATGACAAAACCTTAGCATATCCACATAAAGACTGCAATGAATGAAAGTTAACATGTCGGTTGAATATGTAAACTCAATGTTGTTTATACTGACTACCTAAATGTTACCTTTTAGGGGAAAATTACTGTAATATTTGCAACACATTTCAAAAGCATTCTCTTCCAAATGATGGCTACATGGTGAAATGAAGTAAATCAGAGTTTGCATAGCAACGATCAAAGTGACTGCTTGGTGATTACTGAATTAGATATTAGATTGATCCAGGTCCGTAGACATCAGGGCGAAGGCCGATTCCTGGATTCCAGAGTTATAAGTAGATTCAGGCTGGCTAACTTTCCCCTGCAAATTATCCATAGAAACCCCACTGGTCCAAGATTGGATGGGGAACTCTGGGGTTCCTTTTAGTCTATGAGTCTTAATTTTCTCCCTTCCTAAATTCTTTATCTACTCTCTTTCCATCTAAGTCAGGGGTCCTCAAACTTTTTAAACAGGGGGCCAGTTCACTGTCCCTCAGACCGTTGGAGGGCCAGACTATAGTTTAAAAAAAAACTATGAACAAATTCCTATGCACACTGCACATATCTTATTTTGAAGTAAAAAAAAAAAAAAAACGGGAAAAAAAATATTTGTATTTGCATGTGGCCCGCGGGCCGTAGTTTGAGGACCCCTGATCTAAGCTGTCTAGCATAAGAAGACTAGGTACTTAGTATACTATTAAAATTTTAAGCTTTGACTGTAGTAATTGGAAGTGTTTGTTAACAGTATTCTTAGAAATTTCATTCAACAGTCTGCATAGATTTAAGACTAAAGAATGGCTAAAAATGATTAGGCACATGTATGGCTTAAGAGAGTAGAATACTTTACCCTTATAAATAAATATAAAATTACTAACAATATATCTATTATTAAAATTATAAAATATACTATTTTACAAATGATAAAGACTAAGCTGTTTTCAGCCATTTTAAGATCATTTAATTTAATACATTAAATCAATTAAAATATATGAAAGGAGGTAAATATGTTATTTATAAGCCTATATGCTATTACGTTTCTTCAATTTCTTGTCCAGTCACACACACACACACACACACACACACACACACACACACACACACACACACACGGGTTATCCCCAAAAATATATATGCACTTTAACAGCTGATAGCTCCATTTTGAAAATGAAATGTATTTTAATAAACACTGCCTTTATAATTATTCAAAATGTGTGTATACATTTTTGGGAGACACTATATATATATATAATTTTTTACATTTTCTTTTGATTATTGACACTATTACAGATGCCCCCATCCCCCATTTGCCCACCTCTACCCAGCCCCTGCCCTCTTCCCTAACTTTTAATGCAGAAATAAGGTATATTTATATATTATATACATATATATTAACTGCAATCAATATTTTGTAATAATTTTCCAGTACACATTTTAGTTCTCTTAACCATTTTGCTCTTTTTTGTTCTGAAGTTAAGATTGTTCTAGCCTTTTTTCATTGTCATAAGTAACAATGCTATGAACATTTTATACAAAGAACTATTTTCTTCTTTTGAACCATTCCTGAGAAATCATTTCCAGGAGTAAAATTTCTGGCCAAAGATTATACATTCAAGCCACAGGCTATTGAAACTGCTCACATCGGTCACTCAAACGTACTGTATATAAATATGTAACTTAAAAAAATCTAAACTACCATATTTCAAATCACACATCAAGACAGGTACTGTTTTCTCAGAAATAGTCATAGCACCATTTCCAGTGCACAACAAAGTTACAAACAATAAATATTATCTGATCTTGCCTGAAGAGAACATGTTTTGTAAAATATATTTCACTGTGCTCTAAAAATGGTGTGCCTATTTCCAAGTATTTAAATCATCCTGATACTTTCAAGTTGAGTAAAAACTTGTGGCATCTGGGGCTTGGTAAAAGCAAATGTGAATACAACTGATATAATACTTTGAAAATCAGTATAGCACCTTGTTGTTATTGTCATTGCAGTTTTACTGGTTTAATTCAATTCAACTTACCTCATAAATCATTGAACTGAATCATCCCTTTGACAATGATAAAAATTGGGCTATTACCAGAGGTCATGGCCCCCTGATTCCACAGCCCCCTGAGTCTCAAGAACTGTGTTCCTGGATTGCTGGCCAGTAGCGTCTTTGCTTTCACCCATCTTCCTCACTGTGTCTATTCCTTCACATCCTTCCAAAGGATCCTCCATTACTTTTTTTTTCTCCTGAATCACCAGTTTTCTATACGTTCACATTCTCAGGCCAGGATTTAGCACAGCTTTTATTAGCATAGATGTCATGTACCTACTGTAATGGCAAGTTTTAGAACTTCCCTAAGGTTCCCTTTAAGAGGAATCATTTCCATGTGAATGTGTATCACTGCGAACCAGTGTTGAGGAAAGATGACCATTACAGTCTTTGAATTCATTTATTTTACTAGTAAAAGTATTTGGTCACTAGAGGAATATGTAGCATTAATAGATACATTTATGCCTTTCTGGTGTTGGCATTGACTATGTAACCTTGGGTATGCACCTTAGGTGCCTGATCTCTAAAATCAAGAAGTTGGACGAGATAAGGATTAAGATCTTGCTTGTTCCCCTCAGGGAATCCATAAAGGAATCCACATTTCACAGACATATTTTCTGTGTTATGTATAGGTGCCATCATCGACCTTACTCATTCAGTTGTCAGAGAGCTGCGACAAGGGACATTCACTGGGTAATTCTTAAGTATCTCAGTCATGTAAAAACAGTAATAGTAATGATTCTACTTCATTTTTGCAGATCAGTGAGCCAAAACCAAAGGTGATTTCTTAATAGCACAAATAAGTAAGAAGCAATAACAGAATTATAATTTGGGCTCTCACTCTTTATTGCATAAAATATTACTGTGAGGGAATAGATGGCCTAAGTTGGTTAAAATCAGCCCTAACCCTAACCCTTACCCTAACCCTAACCCTAACCCTAACCCTAACCCTAACCCTATTTATTTTTGCCTTTAGGCAGCTGTTTATGCTCTGTGTGGATATGCAAGCGAATTCTCTTAGGGGACTATCTTTTGCAGTTCCTCCTCTTGGTGTTAGGACCATGGGCACAAACCTAGAGGAAGAGCTCTGTACTGTAGCTGCACTCTATTGCCACCTAATGGTGAGTAGTGGCAGCAACATGTAAGAGTTCATGCCTTTACTCAGCTCTCACCAAGTTCCTTTAACCTGGATTCATTTTGGAAGAATATTTTAAAGACCACAGAGCAATGTGAATCGATATTCATCTGTTTTTCCGACCATGATTTTCCCTTTCCACGTTTTAAATTCTTGAGAAAGGATCACGCTGACCACCAGAATTTTTGGTCTATGATAATTTCTATTTTAAACTACCCAGGCATTTCTATTATTCGCCACCAGAATTTTTGGTCTATGATAATTTCTATTTTAACCATCTGCCCAGGCATTTCTATTATTCATGACTTCTTAGACGTTTTGCGACAAATACAGAACAGTATACATTTGTGCCATCCAGAAAGGCTCACATGAGCTGTGAATGTATGAATGTGGTTTTCAAGTTAACAGATTATAGACAGTGTGCTGGAAATGTCGGGTGAGAATTACATACATCATGCTTGCGTTATCTTGATGAGTCTTAGGGGGACGATACAAATGCTACAAATGGAGAGCCCAATGGGGCATCATGCTGTTTTCTCGGAAGCCTGAATATTTAACCCTTTCCTGGGCAATGTAACAATAATTTTTTATCTTTTAGTGTAGCTATTTTTAATGTCAAATATGGGCACACTCGAGACAGGTTTTAAGCACATGCTAATTTTCAAAGCCAGAACCAAGTCACAAACCACTGCTCATATAGGAAGCTGCTTTGAAATATCCCACAATCTCTGGTATCAGTAAAACATATACTTCCCTAGCTCGGTCTGTCTGACACCCACCTATTTATCTGTGCTGCTGCAGAGGCATCTCTGGAGGACCACCTATACCTAGTTGTAGGAAATTCTTAAATAAGGAGTCACTGCTACTTTAAACACTAAAGTGTGGAAAAATCTTTGAAAGAGTTAGCAGCAGTTCTAGAGTTCTTAAGTCATTCCCCCCCCCTCCCTCAGAAAATGTCACTTGTAGTACCTGCCAACCAGAATTGGATGAACATCTCCTTTCAACAGTCCCATGTTTCTGCTTCTCGGCTTATTTTTCCTTCTTAAATTATGAAGTTAAATCAAACTTTTGCATAAATCTAAAGAATATGGAATATTCATGTTCCACAACAATACATATAACATACCTAATGTAAAAATCCGGCAAAAAAAAACCAAATCTTACGGTGACCCAAAGCATAGCATGTCACTGCCGGTGGGAAATTCGTGGCTGGCCATGTTAATTATGGAAAAAGCTTTTTTTTTTTGCTTCTGGAGAAGGCCCTTCTGTGGAGTCTAAGAATCTCTTCAAATCAACATCCCTCCTCCTCTCCGGCCACACAAATCTCTGCCCCAGAAACAAAACGAGGTCTTATTATGCAAAGACGCGAAAAGCACAATGATGGGATCAACGCAGAGAAATCTCCACATTTTTAAAGTGTGGAAAAGGCAGTTTTCTTTGCAAGGAAGCCCTTCACCAGTTGCGGACCCACAGTCATGTAACAGACCAGGCAGGGTCAAACCAGGCCCATCAAGCCAGAGACGGTGAAAGGACTGGCGCATGCAGAGAGGAACATTCCCCGCGCCCCCGCGCCTTCCTCAGGATCCACAGTCCTGGTTAGCATCCCTCCATTGAGAATGCGGTCTGTGGTGTAGAACTCAGTAGTTCAAGGGAAAAGAAATATGACCTTTAAGTTCAATCAATGCTGTCAAGAGACTGGGGTAGATGAAGCACACATCACCAGAGCAACGCGATGTTTTGCAACAAGATCATGGATTTTACAACATCCCAATAAAC